CTGTTCCAGACCATATGAGTATTTGGACCGTACACGTACGGTCCGACCATACGCGTACGGTCAGACCGTACGAGTATTCTCATACGGTCTAGTACGAGCTGGACCATACATGTATTTGGACCATACGGGTTTACTTTAGACAAACATTTCTCAAAAAACTTTTATTGAGTTTTACAAATTAATAGTATTACAATTAGATGAACAAGAAAACAGCTGGTTCGACGGTTTTTCTAGTAAAATTCATAAATATTCTAAAAGCATTTCTTCCTAAATTATGTTTTCTTCCGATAACTTTAATTCAGGGAGCAATATTCAATCTGATGCACTTGACCAACTTCTTAAATTTAGGCAGACCGTACGCATACAGTCCGACCGTATGCGTATTTTGAAAAAGTATGCATACGGTCCATACCGTACATGTACGGTCCAAATACTCGTATGGTCTGGAACATATACGTTGTAGGTCAATGTAAAACAATTTGAAGATGCAAATTTTTGATCAAAACACTCCTTAATAAAATTGGCTGAACTTGCATAAACTAGGTTTCAGATTTAGATGAGAAAATTATCAGACTCTAATACCATGAATTTGCAGAGTACTTTAAACAAGACCTTTGAACACCCACTTTACTTCAGGTAAATCAGTTATAATAGGTCGAACGATGATCTAAATATCCTGGTAAGCAAACATTTTCAATTGACAACACTAAAATAATTTTTTTACTCTGATTTCAAGTTTGTCTAAACAAATCAAAGTGGCTGCTCTTGTCTGATTCCTGGTTTTGTAAAAATCAACATACAACTGTAACTTTATAATGTAAAAGGTTATTTTACATTTTCTTAATAGTTTACCTACTAATTAATATATCAAATTTTAATCACTTTCTATGTACGGATATTCCAGACCATATGCGCATTTGGACCATACGCGTATATGGTCCAGACCTTACACGTACTTATTCAAAATAAGTATAACGTTCGGACCGTACTCGTGCGGTCTGCCTAATTTTAAGAAATTTATCAAATTTATCTAGAATCAATAAATAAATAAAGCTTTAACTAAATACAAAAGTCACGCTTCATTGTAACTTTATCAGTTAATCTCCTGTATTAGTATGAAATTGAGTTAAAATGCTCACTGAAATTGAAGTTATTGGAAGTACATATAATATTGGAATATAAGTTTTTAGAATATTTAGGAACTTTACTACAAAAACCGTCAAGCCAGCTGTTTACTTGTGAGAAGACTGATAGAATTAAACTGAAATGCTTAATATATAGTTTGACAGTTTCTCAGATATTATAAGTAAATTAATATTAAAATCATGTATACATCTTGTGTATTGAATGGTTGTAAAAGAGGGACAAAAGATACCAGAGGGACAGTCAAACTCCTGATCGAAAACAAACTGACAACGCCATGGCCAAAAATAAAAAGACAAACAGACAAATAATAGTACACATGACACAACATAGAAAACTAAAGACTAAGCAACACGAACCCCACCAAAAACTGGGGGTGATCTCAGGTGCTCCAGAAGGGTAAGCAGATCCTGCTCCACATGTGGCACCCGTCGTGTTGCTTATGTTATTACAAATCCGGTAAATAGTCTAATTCGGTAGGTCACATTCGTGAAAAGGGAAGGGTATTGTAGTTACGACATAAGGAACATATCCGATATCATTTGTGAAACGGTTATTCCATAACGGTCAACCAACTCGTGATGGCGTCCGTAAAATTTACGACGGGATGATTTCAACTTCACCATTTGGAACTCTTGGTTTAATAGCTTCCGTGTGAGCAGCAATCCTCTAAGGTAAGGTGTACATGACTGTCTGTCTGGTCTGTATCATAATTTAATGGTGCATTAGTCAAAGTTTGTATTTCTTGATGATGTTTGCCTCCGAGATACTTTTAGCGATACGTTAACTTAACCCTTTCCCTTTCAGGCATTTTATACCTTTACTTATCGAAAAGACACTATCAAAGTTCAAATGAATACTGCATTCGCACCAATGGTCATGTACATGCCATGTTGGGCCCATATGAAAGATAATTGGTCAAATATTTCAGACATTTAATTTTGAAGATAATTCGTAATTTTTGAGTCACGAGGTATGTTTCCAAAGGCAAGTGACGTTTGGAGAAAATGTGGAAAAATACGAAATCCTTGGGCCAAAAGTCGTGTAGAGGCATATTGTTGCGCTAATAGGGTAAGGTTTTGGTGGGAACACAATGCCTCAAGTCTGTTAAAGACAGACATATTATTATATTGGTCTTAAAAGAGGAAATACGTGTTATATGCCTTGAAATCTCGATGTCCGTACATGTAACATATTCAAAATAACTGATTTCAGACATTCTTTTCGTCCAATTTCAAACTCGGACACTAGTTTTTTGTCTAAATCGTTTTCAATCAAGCAGTAACCAAAATTTTGTTTTTACAAGGGAAAATTCATTGAATTACCTATGATAACTTGTTGCGCACCCTGGACCGAACCCGATGGGGCAAATGGGGGAAAATAGGGGTGGGGGCAATTTGGCACACACATTCTTTTAAAAACAAACATTAATATTTCGTTGGTTTTCTTTTTGAAATTGAAAGTTTGGTCAAATATTTCAGAAATTTAATTTTGAAGATAATTGTACATCTGTACGTCAATAAATAATAAGTTATGTTTTTCCACCTCCGGCAGTGAACACGCGATCTTTCCGCCATGGGTTATTCAACATACCGCTGCACCACTGGCATCGTTAGGAATATATTGAAATTTAAGTACTTAAGTCTACTTCTCAAGACGTAAAAAAAAAAAAAAACATATGAAGATCCTCACCCAGTTAGTTTTCTTTTAGAAATTATGTGTTCAGATGATATGTTTTTGTTGCCAAATGCATGATTTTTACGCAAATATAGGAGGAATCCACTCCTTAGTCTGTCATTTTTCCATTGAATTATACATGTTTTTTTATTTAAACAAAAGTGTTTTCAACTTTATCATACCCCAACACTTACGAAAGCATGTTTTGTTACACCTATTTCAACTTTGCAAAAAAAAATATCAGGATATTCTATTGGTTTTTGTCTCTTTTACGATAAAATCTTTGAAAATGACTACGGATTTTTAGCGCATTTCAAGTTTGTGATTGCACTGGTACACTAAAAATTACATTTTGAACTAGTGTACGAGTTAGAACTATTATTTTCATACTATTCTTCAAAAACTCACTGCACAGTTATTGAAAAAAGTCATAATTCCCCAAAAAAGAACAGTTTTCTATGCACTACTTTTTGAAAATATTCTTTAAAATTCGAAGAAAAAAAAAAGGTTTTTACAGAAAAAATACATGTCAGTAAGAGGCGACCTGACTATAAACTGATAATGATATAAATTTGATGCACATAAAATCACATTGCTGGTATTCTGAGGATTAATTTGAGCCCTTAACCACATCTGTACGTCAGCGATGGAACAAAACTAAATGCACAAAAAATATCTTAAAATTGGCTTCACCGGTAAGCTGTACCGGTGTGAAAGGGAAAGGATTAATTTGGTATATCATTGGATGAATTTATACGGCCTCCATGTGTGTCTGAAAAAAATTATCTCACCTTGACATCATTTTCATCGATCATTGAATTGTAAATTTAATGTAATGCTTGTTGTAAAAACTTTTTTTCACTTTCAAATAAATTCAATTATAAACTCTAAAACAGGGAAGACATTTTAGTGTGTCCAGTCTTGTTATAATAATTATGTATGTAATGTAGGTTTTTAAAACCAGGCTGAAGCTAGCGAACAATAACTAGCGAACAATAAGCCAGCGAACAATAAGGCGATATATCTAAAAACCGAAAAAATGAATAAGACAGCAACGGCCGTTAAATGAAAAATATTTAAACAGGCAGAAATTCCGTCCAAATATTGCAATTTCAACTCTATCATGAAATGGTATTTATCCCATCCATTGATAAAACAAGTCACATCTCTTTTTAGTCTAATATTCAGTACCACAGTAAATCTGCATCTGTCAACGGATTATTTGTAGGTGTAAAACCACCAATGCACCCACTTCCATTTAGTACGTATGTAAAAGTAGTCCTTCCCTGTAAAATATAGCACCTTTGATGTCATTGTTAAATTGAACTAAGATACACATTTGCAGAAATGGGGGTTGGCCTATTCCATGGCTTCTTGAGAAAAATAATGAGGGGTGTCACGGGCTATGACTATATAGGTCTTGTAGAGGAGAAACAGGCGCATCTTTTGCGCAAGGTATCGAAGGGCGCTATGTTCATAAATCTGTAACTAGAGCTCAAAATTTGAAAAAAATTGTTAAAAACACGGGGATTGGCCTATTCCTAGGTTTCTAGAGAAAAATAATGAGGAGTGTCACGGGGTATGACTATATAGGTCTTGTAGAGGAGAAACAGGCGCATCTTTTGCGCAAGGTATCGAAGGGCGCTATGTTCATAAATCTGAAACGAAAGCTCAAAATTTGAAAAAAAATTGTTAAAAACAGGGGAAATGGCCTATTCCATGGCTTCTAGAGAAAAATAATGAGGGATGTCACGGGGTATGTCTATATAGGTCTTGAAGAGGAGAAACAGTCGCATCTTTTGCGCAAGGTATCGAAGGGCGCTATGTTCAAAAATCTGAAACTAGAGCTCAAAATTTGAAAAAAAAGTGTTAAAAACAGGGGGTTGGCCTATTCCATGGCTTCCACAGAAAAATAATGAGGAGTGTCACGGGGTATGACTATATAGGTCTTGTAGAGGAGAAACAGGCGCATCTTTTGTGCAAGGTATCGAAGGGCGCTATGTTCAAAAATCTGAAACTAGAGCTCAAAATTTGAAAAAAAAATGTTAAAAACAGGGGGGTTGGCCTATTCCATGGCTTCTAGAGAAAAATAATGAGGGGTGTCACTGGGTATGACTATATAGGCCTTGTAGAGGAGAAAGAGGCGCATCTTTTGCGCAAGGTATAGAAGGGCACTATGTTAAAAAATCTGAAACTAGAGCTCAAAATTTGAAAAATAAATTGTTAAAAACAGGGGGGTTGGCCTATTCCATGGTTTCTAGAGAAACATAATGAGGGGTGTCACGGGGTATGACTATATAGGTCTTGTAGAGGAGAAACAGGCGCATCTTTTGCGCAAGGTAACGAAGGGCGCTATGTTCAAAAATCTGAAACTAGAGCTCAAAATTTGAAAAAAAAATATTAAAAACAGGGGTTGGCCTATTCCATGGCTTCTAGAGAAAAATAATGAGGAGTGTCACGGAGTATGACTATATAGGTCTTGTAGAGGAGAAACAGGCGCATCTTTTGCGCAAGGTATCGAAGGGCGCTATGTTCAAAAATCTGAAACTAGAGCTCAAAATTTGAAAAATAAATTGTTAAAAACAGGGGGGTTGGCCTATTCCATGGTTTCTAGAGAAACATAATGAGGGGTGTCACGGGGTATGACTATATAGGTCTTGTAGAGGAGAAACAGGCGCATCTTTTGCGCAAGGTATCGAAGGGCGCTATGTTCAAAAATCTGAAACTAGAGCTCAAAATTTGAAAAAAAAGTGTTAAAAAAGGGGGGTTGGCCTATTCCATGGCTTCTAGAGAAAAATAATGAGGAGTGTCACGGAGTATGACTATATAGGTCTTGTAGAGGAGAAACAGGCGCATCTTTTGTGCAAGGTATCGAAGGGCGCTATGTTCAAAAATCTGAAACTAGAGCTCAAAATTTGAAAAAAAAATGTTAAAAACAGGGGGGTTGGCCTATTCCATGGCTTCTAGAGAAAAATAATGAGGGGTGTCACGGGGTATGACTATATAGGTCTTGTAGAGGAGAAACAGGCGCATCTTTTGCGCAAGGTAATGAAGGGCGCTATGTTCAAAAATCTGAAACTAGAGCTCAAAATTTGAAAAAAAAAATTGTTAAAAACAGGGGGTTGGCCTATTCAATGGTTTCTAGGGAAAAATAATGAGGGGTGTCACGGGGTATGACAATATAAGTCTTGTAGAAGAGAAACAGGCGCATCTTTTGCGCAAGGTATCGAAGGGCGCTTTGTTCAAAAATCTGAAACTAGAGCTCAAAATTTAAAAAAAATGTAAAAAACAGGGGGGTTGGCCTATTCAATGGCTTCTACAGAAAAATAATGAGGGGTGTCACGGGGTATGACAATATAAGTCTTGTAGAAGAGAAACAGGCGCATCTCTTGCGCAAGGTTTCGAAGGGCGCTATGTTCAAAAATCTGTAACTAGAGCTCAAAATTTGAAAAAAATTGTTAAAAACAGGGGGGTTGGCCTATTCAATGGCTTCTACAGAAAAATAATGAGGGGTGTCACGGGGTATGACAATATAGGTCTTGTAGAAGAGAAACAGGCGCATCTCTTGCGCAAGGTTTCGAAGGGCGCTATGTTCAAAAATCTGTAACTAGAGCTCAAAATTTGAAAAAAATTGTTAAAAACACGGGGATTGGCCTATTCCATGGTTTCTAGAGAAAAATAATGAGGAGTGTCACGGGGTATGACTATATAGGTCTTGTAGAGGAGAAACAGGCGCATCTTTTGCGCAAGGTATCGAAGGGCGCTATGTTCATAAATCTGAAACGAAAGCTCAAAATTTGAAAAAAAATTGTTAAAAACAGGGGAAATGGCCTATTCCATGGCTTCTAGAGAAAAATAATGAGGGATGTCACGGGGTATGTCTATATAGGTCTTGAAGAGGAGAAACAGTCGCATCTTTTGCGCAAGGTATCGAAGGGCGCTATGTTCAAAAATCTGAAACTAGAGCTCAAAATTTGAAAAAAAAGTGTTAAAAACAGGGGGTTGGCCTATTCCATGGCTTCCACAGAAAAATAATGAGGAGTGTCACGGGGTATGACTATATAGGTCTTGTAGAGGAGAAACAGGCGCATCTTTTGTGCAAGGTATCGAAGGGCGCTATGTTCAAAAATCTGAAACTAGAGCTCAAAATTTGAAAAAAAAATGTTAAAAACAGGGGGGTTGGCCTATTCCATGGCTTCTAGAGAAAAATAATGAGGGGTGTCACTGGGTATGACTATATAGGCCTTGTAGAGGAGAAAGAGGCGCATCTTTTGCGCAAGGTATAGAAGGGCACTATGTTCAAAAATCTGAAACTAGAGCTCAAAATTTGAAAAATAAATTGTTAAAAACAGGGGGGTTGGCCTATTCCATGGTTTCTAGAGAAACATAATGAGGGGTGTCACGGGGTATGACTATATAGGTCTTGTAGAGGAGAAACAGGCGCATCTTTTGCGCAAGGTAACGAAGGGCGCTATGTTCAAAAATCTGAAACTAGAGCTCAAAATTTGAAAAAAAAATATTAAAAACAGGGGTTGGCCTATTCCATGGCTTCTAGAGAAAAATAATGAGGAGTGTCACGGAGTATGACTATATAGGTCTTGTAGAGGAGAAACAGGCGCATCTTTTGCGCAAGGTATCGAAGGGCGCTATGTTCAAAAATCTGAAACTAGAGCTCAAAATTTGAAAAATAAATTGTTAAAAACAGGGGGGTTGGCCTATTCCATGGTTTCTAGAGAAACATAATGAGGGGTGTCACGGGGTATGACTATATAGGTCTTGTAGAGGAGAAACAGGCGCATCTTTTGCGCAAGGTATCGAAGGGCGCTATGTTCAAAAATCTGAAACTAGAGCTCAAAATTTGAAAAAAAAGTGTTAAAAAAGGGGGGTTGGCCTATTCCATGGCTTCTAGAGAAAAATAATGAGGAGTGTCACGGAGTATGACTATATAGGTCTTGTAGAGGAGAAACAGGCGCATCTTTTGTGCAAGGTATCGAAGGGCGCTATGTTCAAAAATCTGAAACTAGAGCTCAAAATTTGAAAAAAAAATGTTAAAAACAGGGGGGTTGGCCTATTCCATGGCTTCTAGAGAAAAATAATGAGGGGTGTCACGGGGTATGACTATATAGGTCTTGTAGAGGAGAAACAGGCGCATCTTTTGCGCAAGGTAATGAAGGGCGCTATGTTCCAAAATCTGAAACTAGAGCTCAAAATTTGAAAAAAAAAATTGTTAAAAACAGGGGGTTGGCCTATTCAATGGTTTCTAGGGAAAAATAATGAGGGGTGTCACGGGGTATGACAATATAAGTCTTGTAGAAGAGAAACAGGCGCATCTTTTGCGCAAGGTATCGAAGGGCGCTTTGTTCAAAAATCTGAAACTAGAGCTCAAAATTTAAAAAAAATGTAAAAAACAGGGGGGTTGGCCTATTCAATGGCTTCTACAGAAAAATAATGAGGGGTGTCACGGGGTATGACAATATAAGTCTTGTAGAAGAGAAACAGGCGCATCTCTTGCGCAAGGTTTCGAAGGGCGCTATGTTCAAAAATCTGTAACTAGAGCTCAAAATTTGAAAAAAATTGTTAAAAACAGGGGGGTTGGCCTATTCAATGGCTTCTACAGAAAAATAATGAGGGGTGTCACGGAGTATGACAATATAGGTCTTGTAGAAGAGAAACAGGCGCATCTCTTGCGCAAGGTTTCGAAGGGCGCTATGTTCAAAAATCTGTAACTAGAGCTCAAAATTTGAAAAAAATTGTTAAAAACACGGGGATTGGCCTATTCCATGGTTTCTAGAGAAAAATAATGAGGAGTGTCACGGGGTATGACTATATAGGTCTTGTAGAGGAGAAACAGGCGCATCTTTTGCGCAAGGTATCGAAGGGCGCTATGTTAAAAAATCTGAAACTAAAGCTCAAAATTTGAAAAAAAATTGTTAAAAACAGGGGAAATGGCCTATTCCATGGCTTCTAGAGAAAAATAATGAGGGATGTCACGGGGTATGTCTATATAGGTCTTGAAGAGGAGAAACAGGCGCATCTTTTGCGCAAGGTATCGAAGGGCGCTATGTTCAAAAATCTGAAACTAGAGCTCAAAATTTGAAAAAAAAGTGTTAAAAACAGGGGGTTGGCCTATTCCATGGCTTCCACAGAAAAATAATGAGGAGTGTCACGGGGTATGACTATATAGGTCTTGTAGAGGAGAAACAGGCGCATCTTTTGTGCAAGGTATCGAAGGGCGCTATGTTCAAAAATCTGAAACTAGAGCTCAAAATTTGAAAAAAAATGTTAAAAACAGGGGGGTTGGCCTATTCCATGGCTTCTAGAGAAAAATAATGAGGGATGTCACGGGGTATGTGTATATATAGGTCTTGAAGAGGAGAAACAGGCGCATCTTTTGCGCAAGGTATCGAAGGGCGCTATGTTCAAAAATCTGAAACTAGAGCTCAAAATTTGAAAAAAAAGTGTTAAAAACAGGGGGTTGGCCTATTCCATGGCTTCCACAGAAAAATAATGAGGAGTGTCACGGGGTATTACTATATAGGTCTTGTAGAGGAGAAACAGGCGCATCTTTTGTGCAAGGTATCGAAGGGCGCTATGTTCAAAAATCTGAAACTAGAGCTCAAAATTTGAAAAAAAAAAGTAAAAAACAGGGGGGTTGGCCTATTCCATGGCTTCTAGAGAAAAATAAGGAGGAGTGTCACTGGGTATGACTATATAGGCCTTGTAGAAGAGAAAGAGGCGCATCTTTTGCGCAAGGTAACGAAGGGCGCTATGTTCAAAAATCTGAAACAAAAGCTCAAAATTTGAAAAAAAAATTGTTAAAAACAGGGGGGTTGGTCTATTCCATGGCTTCTACAGAAAAATAATGAGGGGTGTCACGGGGTATGACAATATAGGTCTTGTAGAAGAGAAACAGGCGCATATCTTGCGCAAAGTTTTGAAGGGCGCTATGTTCAAAAATCTGAAACTAAAGCTCAAAATTTGAAAAAAATTGTTAAAAACAGGGGGGTTGGCCTATTCCATGGCTTCTAGAGAAAAGAAACGAGGGGTGTCACGGGGTATGACTATATAGGTCTTGTAGAGGAGAAACAGGCGCATCTCTTGCGCAAGAAATCGAAGGGCGCTTTGTTCAAAATTCTGAAACTAGAGCTCAAAATTTGAAAAAAAATGTTAAAACAGGGGGGTTGGCCTATTCCATGGTTTCTAGAGAAAAATAATGAGGGGTGTCACGGGGTATAACTATATAGGTCTTGTAGAGGAGAAACAGGCGCATCTCTTGCGCAAGGTATTATAGGGCGCTATGTTCAAAAATCTGAAACTAGAGCTCAAAATTTGAAAAATAAATTGTTAAAAAGAGGGGGTTGGCCTATTCCATGGCTTCCACAGAAAAATAATGAGGGGTGTCACGGGGTTTGACTATATAGGTCTTGTAGAGGAGAAACAGGCGCATCTTTTGTGCAAGGTATCGAAGGGCGCTATGTTCAAAAATCTGAAACTAGAGCTCAAAATTTGAAAAAATTTGTTAAAAACAGAGGGAATGGCCTATTCCATGGCTTCTATAGAAAAATGATGAGGGGTGTCACGGGGTATGGCTATATAGGTCTTGTAGAAGAGAAACAAGCGCATCTTTTGCGCAAGGTAACGAAGGGCGCTATGTTCAAAAATCTGAAACTAGAGCTAAAAATTTGAAAAAAAAAATATTAAAAACAGGAGGAATGGCCTATTCCATGGCTTCTAGAGAAAAATAATGAAGGGTGTCACGGGGTAGGACTATACAGGTCTTGTAGAGGAGAAACAAGCGCATCTCTTGCGCAAGGTATTGAAGGGCGCTATGTTCAAAAATCTGAAACTAGAGCTCAAAATTTGAAAAATAATTGTTAAAAACAGGGGGAATGGCCTATTCCATGGCTTCTAGAGAAAAATAATGAGGGGTGTCACGGGGTATGACTATATAGGTCTTTTAGAAGAGAAACACGCGCATCTTTTGCGCAAGGTATCGAAGGGCGCTATGTTCAAAAATCTGAAACTAGAGCTCAAAATTTAAAAAAAAATGTTAAAAACAGGGGGGTTGGCCTATTCCGTGGTTTCTAGAGAAAAATAATGAGGGGTGTCACGGGGTATGTCTATATAGGTCTTGTAGAGGAGAAACAGGCGCATCTTTTGCGCAAGGTATCGAATGGCGCTATGTTAAAAAATCTGAAACTAGGGCTCAAAAGTTAAAAAAAAAAGGAAAAAACAGAGGGGGTTGGCCTATTGGTGTAATACCTCCATTGATTTTCTTTTTTTTTTTTTTTTAAATTTGCAGTTTTCAAAAAAATGTGGAGAATTTATCTTTGTTTCAAATTAAATAAAATGCTCCGCAGGGCGCAGCTTGATACGACCGCAGAGGTCGAACCCTGAACAGTTGGGGCAAGTATGGACACAACATTCAAGCTTGATACAGCTCTAAATTTGGATTGTGATTAAATATTTGACACAACATAGGTTTCTGACACAGAATGAATGTGGTCTAAGAACTTAAAAGTTTTAAATTGGACATTCACCTATTATGGTCCAATATCCAAAATCTAAATACATGGTTAGATTCAGCATATCAAAGAACCCCAAGAATTCAATTTTTGATGAAATCAAACAAAGTTTAATTTTGGACCCTTTTGACCTCAATGTGGACAAAGTTGATAACGGGGCCAAAAAATCAAAAATCTAAATACATGGTTAGATTCAGCATATCAAAGAACCCCATATATTCAATTTTTGTTGAAATCAAACAAAGTATAATTTTGGACCCCGATTTGGACCAACTTGAAAACTTGGCCCATAATCAAAAATCTAAATACATGTTTAGATTCAGCATATCAAAGAACCCTAAAAATTCAATTTTCGTTAAAATCAGACTAAGTTTAATTTTGGACCCTTTGGACCTTAATGTAGACCAATTTGAAAACGGAACCAAAAATTAAGAATCTAAATACACGGTTAGATTCGGCATATCAAAGAACCCCAATAATTCAATTTTTGATGAAATCAAACAAAGTTAAATTTTGGACCCTTTGGACCTCAATGTGGACCAATTTAAAAACGGGGCCCAAAATCCAAAAACTTAATACACAGTTAGATTCAGCATATTAAAGAACCCCAAGAATTCAAGAATAAAACCCCATTGAAATTGATCAAGAAATAAGCAATTTATACAAAGTATCTTCTTTTGCACAATACTGTGCAATTGAATATTTCTTGCTATTGCGCAATACTGTACAATTGACAATTTCTTGCTATTGCGCAATATTGTGCTATTGGATATTTCTTGCTATTGCGCAATACTGTGCAATTGAAGATTTCTTGCTATTGCGCAATACTGTGCAATTGAAGATTTCTTGCTATTGTGCAATACTGTGCAATTGAAAATTTCTTGCTATTGCACAATACTTATTATATAATAATTTACACATCCTGTTTGGTGTGTATCTCCTACCATATCATTATTATTTGCTTTTAAATATAAATCAGAAATAACCAACTTAAAATGGAAAATTTTAAAAGAAAAAAAAAAGGAAAAAAAGAAAAGAAAAAAAAATCCCCCCCCTCCAAATTTTTTGAACCCCCTTATGATTCATCACCCCCAAACTCAATCCCAGCCTTCCCTTTGTGGTATGGTACCTTGCAGTAAAATTTCAGAGAGATCCATACACTTGAACACAAGTTATTGTCTGGAAACTAGAAAAATGCTTATTTTTGGCCCCTTTTTGGCCCCCAATTCCTAAACGTTTCGGGTAATTACCCCCAAACTCAATTCCAGCTTTCCCTTTGTGATATGAAACCTTGTAGTACAATTTCAGAAATATCCAAACACTTACACACAAGTTATTGTCATGAAACTAGAAAAATGCTTGTTTTTTGCCCCTTTTTTGGCCCCTAATTCCTAAAATTTTGAGGCAATTACCCCCAAAATCAATTACAGCCTTCCCTTTGTGATATGGAACCTTGTGGTACAATGTCAGAGAGATCCATACACTTACACACAAGTTATTGTCTGGAAGTTACAAAAATGCTTATTTTTGGCCCCTTTTTGGCCCCCAATTCCTTAACTGTTGGTACCATAACCCCCAAAATCAATCCCAACCTTCCCTTCGTGGTATTGAACCTTAAAATAAAATTTCATGGAGATCCATTCACTTAAACTAAAGTTAGAGTGCGAAAACTAATGTGTCTTCGGACGACGCCGGACGACGCCGGACGACGACGACGACGACGACGACGACGACGCCAACGTCATACCAATATACGACCAAAAAATTTTTAATTTTTGCGGTCGTATAAGAATTAACATAACATTTCATTGCATATAAGAACATAACTATCACTGTCAGTTAACCAATCAAATGTGCCCCTTATTTAACCTGTGTACAAGCTTTAGTAACCATGCAACCTCAAGTTTCCAAAATATTCTATAGAAACCCCAAATAAAACAATAATGATTCTTTGAAATACCCAAGATACATGTATATGTTTATGACCCAGAAATATTTTACTGCAATAAAATGATGGATTAATTACCTACAACTGTCAAATTCAAGGGAATATTTTTTACGACCTATTTTTGTATGCAACCGGATGTGACGTGCCATGATTTGGTGGTATTACACCTGAAGAAGACATTTTTATTCAATAAACTGAAAGGGATTTTTTCCTTTGTAATACTGTTTTTTTCAAGCATTCCTGTCATGTTTTGTCATAATCATTTCAATTGTTTGAGAAAAATCTAGTATAATGTACGACGACATCTTCAGCGATTCGTGCAAAATTTCTTCGAAAAATCCAAACCAAGCCGCATCATGATAGAATATAGTGTGGACCAATAATGATTAAATATTTATCTCATCTGTCTACAAACAGTTGAATTTGATACAAAAGGTGACTTTAGGATGATAAATACCACTAATGGATCCTTTGTCTTCTTGATAAGGTCTCTTTTGGTCCATTTATACATGTCATTTCCTCAAAGTTTCAACTTTTCAGGCCAATAATTAAAAATAATGAAGTAACTTTCACTCATTTATGATAGAAATGTTATAATAAATTGCATTGAGTAATTGAAGTATTCAAGCAGAATGAACAATCCATATAAAAGTTTACTAGAGGTTTTAATAAGTCCTTACGTAAAACTTAAATTTACGCTGCGTTCCAGAGAGGGACATAAAAAGCTTCTCTATTAGTGAATAATTTGTTGGTACTGCTTTAAAAAATAATCACATTTACTTATAATTATATATTTATTAAAATATTTCTGATAGAAAACTTTCTAATATAGCAGAATATAAGAAAAAAAGGAGAAAAAGCTCCCCAAAACACCGTGAAGTATGGCTTGTTCTGTTAACTAATATTCATAGTAGAGTTCAATTTCAAGGAAATGTTCTCATAAAATATGTTTTGGAGACTCAATCCACTCAGAATATTTCATTATTTGTAATATTTCACTTGAATAGCAAGAAATTTTAACACATGAGAGTACTCACAAGGTCAAAGGTGCATATACAGCACCCCATATTAGGTATAATACCACCATTGATTTTCCCCTATTAGTCTTTTTAAAATTTGCACTTTTCAAAAAATTGTGCAGAATTTATCTTTGTTTCAAATTAAAAAAAATACTTGGGATGAGTAAAGTTTTATCCTGTCAAGTACTATAGAAAAACATTCACATAAAATTTCATTGCATATAAGAAAATAACCATAACTGTCAGTTAACCAATCAAATTTCCCCCCTTATATAACCTGTGTACAAGCTTTAGTAACCATGCAACCTCAAGTTTCCAAAATATTCTACAGAAACCCAAAATAAAAAAAAATGATGCTTTGAAATACCCAAGATACATATATATGTTTATGACCCAGAAATGTTTTACTGCAATAAAATGATGAATTAATTACCTACAACTGTCAAATTCCAGGGAATATTTTTTCGACCTATTTTCGTATGCAACCGGATGTGACGTACCATGCATTAATTGGTTGTATTACACCTATTCAATGGCTTCTAGAGAAAAAAAATAATGTGGAGTTTCACGGGGTATAGCTATATAGGTGTTGTAGAGGAGAAACAGGCGCATGGTTTGCGCAAGGTTTCGAGTTGCACTTTGTCCAAAAACTGAAACTAGGGCTCGGAATTTCAAAAAAAATTTGGGAAAAACAACTGGAATTTGCCTATTCCATAGCCTCTGGAAAAAATAATGAGGGATGTCGCGGGGTAAGACTATAAAGGTCTTGTAGAGTGCACACAGGCGCATAGTTTGCGCAAAGCTTCAAGATGTGCTATGTTTAATTATGTGAACAGGGACTAAAATTTAGTGAGGAACAAAGCCAACTCAAATGTCAGACAAGAACGTGCAAATCGTGAAAAAGACATATCAGAGTCAGCAAAGAAGAATTTCTTGTCATATGAAGTCGAAATGAAAATCCAAATTCCCCCATCCGAATTATATGATGAAAGAGATTGTAAAATGTGTTATGTAAGTACTGATAAAAAGAAGGCTGAACACTGGCTGAATTTTTTTCAAGGGTATTTCGAAAAAGAAAACGATGAAGATGAAAGAACTTTAGTGCGAAGGCTAGCTGGTATACAACCTAAAAATCTATATACTATTACAGACTTAATAGACAGTCTACTTTGTATTATTTTCAAAAGTCTATTTATATCAGAGGTTTTGTACCAGAATAAAACAAAATCGACAAAGAGTACTGAGTTGTTAAAAAGATATGATAGTAAAACTACATACAGACCAGTTAACTTTATCATTGACAATCCAAGCGCCACATTCTTAAAGACGGTATAAGTACCATCGTCCACGTGCGTGCATTGTCTGATATAAATAAATGTTTACTAGGCAAAAATAGAAACGTTACCCTGGTTTTTAATTAAAAGAATTTACATATATTAATTTATAATATTTTCAAGATTAAAACTAGTGACCTGAATGATTTATCTATCATTTACTAATTTGTTAAAAATTCGAAGACGACGTTACGTCATTTTCTGATTTTAAACAAATAAGCATTTTTTCAAACATTTACCTGTATCAAGATGGAATTGAGTTGTCCTTTTGGTCATTAAATGTGTCGAGCACTATTGTTAACAAAAGGTCGCATTAAAAAATTGAAAAAGTTACACGTAAGTCAATGCCACGTCTACGTCATAATGAGAGAGAACGAGCTATTGTGTTTTTGGCAGCAAAAATGACTCTAATACAGGTTGCAAATCATCCCAATGTCTCTAGAATGAATATTGAAAGGCTTAAGACTCGTCTTAGAGATACTGGCACGACAAATAATCGTCCCCGAGGTTGCAGGCAACGTGAAACGAAGTTACGGCAAATCAGTCACATCCGCATTATTCATCTCCGGAATCGATTTGTAAACTTGTCACAAACAGCACGACAAACTCATGGAAGAAACAAAAACAGGCTTTATTCTCTAACAGTTTGTAACCGACTGCATCAAGTTTGCCTGAGAGCTCATCGTCCGTTGAAGGGACCTATCCTTACGCAACGTCACAGGATGTCACGACTTGAATGGACTCGGGTACGGATTCGATGGAATAGGCTAACATGGAGACAAGTCCTTTTTACCGATGAATAGAAATTCAACTTGACATTTAGCGACGGCAAAGCCAGTGTCTACCGGAGGTGCAATGCATGATTTTCTGATGCGTGCGTACAGGAAACGGATCTGTTTGAGGGTGGCGGAATTATTGTATGGGACGGAATAACCTACCAGGAACGCACCGATCTGACAATTATTGAAGGTAACCTAAATGCAAAAAGGTATAGGAACGAAATTCTGGCTCCACTCGTTCTCCCGTTTCTCCGAAGGCATCGTTTTGACCACGTTTTTCAGCAGGACAACGCCCGTTGTCACGTGGCACACATTTCAATGATTTTTTGGAGAATAATCATATTCGTGTGTTGCTGTGGCCAGCAATGTCTCCAGATTATCGCCAATGGAACATTTTTGGGACGAACTTGGACGACCCATCAGAAAGAGCCAAAATTCATTGGAAACGCTCGCCAATCTCCGAACAGCATTTTTCAAGGAATGGAACAACACAAACGGCCATTGATAAAGAGGGATGATCATGAGTAGATCCTTCAAATACTGGAACATGAACGACAACCATATCACCATTCTGAAAGCTCCGAGGGCCAGTTCGGATGCTGTAATGAAATGGCGGGTTATTAAAAAAGTAAAAGACAGCACGTATGAAACCTAGTGCGACCAGATTTAAACGGATATAAAATGAATGAAGATAGAATATGATGCAGCAATCAAAGAACATGAGAAAAAATAATGGACAAGCTGGAAAAGTGTGACCACAAACTCAAACATGCAGAACCATTTGATTAGTTAACTTCACGAAAATAAAATGGCAGAGGACAAGGTGATGAATTTTGGTATGCAAAGAAATAGTAAGAACAAGAAAGAGAAATTCAATAGATTGACGGAGTGAGATGTGTTAAAATAAACTAGAGTAGATATCGAGATCTTAAAAATTGAGGGTAATATGTTGCATCATAATCATACCTCTCGTAAATACCACACACATGACGTTTACTATGTGTCGCACTTAATGTAATGTCACGTCACTTTGACATGTTACTATGACTAGTACATCTATCACATAGTCAAGAAGTCTTTTATTTCTATCTTAAGAAGGGAAAATGGATACAAAGCTGAAAGCCATTCGTTTCGGACATAAACGAGCACTTACAAGACTTTGGAAGAATTTTGGAGACATAACTGCAGAGATAGTTTCGATATAGAAATTGAGGAAGTCACAGCTATTTTAGATTCCGTGTCACAGAAAAGTAATATTCAGAAAGGTCTTAATGATAGAAGCTTGCTCGGATGAAGACGTGGTGGAAGAAATTCAGCAAACAGATCAGTACATGTTCGTTTACATTAAAAAAAACCGTCAAATTAAAAACTCATTCAATCCTCACAATCAACTAGTCATAATTTACCCGTCAATACTACCGTTTTTCAAGCTAGTCATTTTACTCCCTCTGATACACCCATACATATCATGATTTCATCTACAGGCAATAATGTAACCGCAAGCGACTCTTCTCAATAGAACCCGCACGC